AAAATATTAAAAAATAAGTATAAAAGGTTATATTAGAATATATAATATATAAATAAGCTAAGGTATTATATTATCTTCCTTATAGAAAACTATAACCCTTACTAGTTCCAGTTAGGAATTAGGAATTAATAACGTTTAACTATATTATAAAGCTTCTACCTTTAAGAGAACCTATAATTAATAATACTTAGGATAGTATCTTCGTAGTAGTTAACCGACTTTTAAAAATAGTTTACTTTATCTTAGTAAAAGAGAAAAGTACTATAGAAGACTTAGCTTATGTCTTTTTTTAATACATCTACGTAAACTATAAACTACTAAATAAGATTATCTTAAATAAAAGATTTACATTTATATTAAAATTTTAGCAATTACTTATAGTATAAATTAAACTAAAACATAAGGCTAGTATAGCTTACTACCCTTAAATAGATAAACAAATAGAATAAATTAACTAAATTATTAAGATATACTTATAATACTACATTAACTTTAATTAAGATAATTAAGTAGAATATTTACTAACTGCCTAAGTATTTTATAATAATATACTAGTAAAATCTACGAACTACTTACTATTTTACGTAAACTATGGGTTTAAACTAGATCTATATTAACTACCTATTAAAAAAGAAAATACTAATAAAGCTATTATTATAGCTAATAAACTTAAGAAACTACATTAAGAATTACAAGTATAACTCAAATTTATTAAATAATAAATAGCTAAATTTATAAATATAAAAAGGATTAAAGGACTAACCTTTAAGGAGGGAAATATAGTTTACCTACTTTAATATTTATAAAATAATAAATAGCTAAATATTAAAATAAACAGGCTAAGTAATAAACTTAATTTTAAGAAACTTAAACCTTATAAAGTTATAAAGAAAATTAAACCTATTAATTATAAAATAGACCTTCTACTTACCTTAGAAAAATAAAAAAGAACTATATATCTGAATTTTTACATTTTACTACTAGAAAAAGTATTAGTAAATAAAAAAATAAGTAAAGTTATATAAAACAAAATTATTATTTAAAGTAAAGAACTTAAATATAAAGTTAAGAAACTTAAAATAATAAAATTTAATAAAAATACCTAATAAACTAAATACTTAGTAAAATAAAAAGGTTATAATAAAATAGAAAACTTATAGTAAACTATTAAAGACCTTAAATACTTAAAAAACCTTATAAATAACTTTTATTAAAGTTTAGGTTTAATAAAGAAAAGTTAAAAGCATCTTAATTAATAGCGTTAACTGCAGAACCTACAATTACGGGATTAGTTAAATTAAGTAATAATATTACAGCCTAATAAATAACCTCCGCCCTTTAAACCTCTTACTCCTCTTACTTAATATATTCTAATTCCTCTAAATTATTAATACTATAAGTAATAGCCTGCTTTATCTACTTTAATTACTTACGTTTTTAAATACGAAAACATTTTACTTAGGCACCAGCCTTAAACTATACCTCTTCTACTTTTTCTAGCTTTTTATTTAATTTTAAATAATAAGTTACTACCTTATATATTTATTACGGGGTAAGGCTAAATGCTTTATAATAAGATTTTTAATTTTAAATATAAAAAAGACACTAACGGAAATCTTCCTCTAAAGTAATACAATTACAGCCTTACTTTTTACAGTAAGTATATAATTTTATAATAAGGATAGAATTCTCTAGTATAGTATTAGTAAAACCTTTACGCTTTTTTTTCTTTTGCTTAAAAACAGATTTATTATTACGCTTACGCTTACGATTAGTTATAATAAAGAAATAAAAACAGAGGTAAAATAAAAAAGGATTATAGTATTTACTAATAAAATAGGAGTAAATACTTATATACTACCCTAATTAGGTCTTAAGGATAAGATTAACAGGAGGGGGAGAATTATATTACGACCTGACTTTTAAAGTTACAATAAAGGGCTAATAGGTTAGCTGGAACTAGATTAACTATAGGCCGATAGATTAATCAGGACTATTAGTATTTCCTAATAGAAAAGCTAGGAAAGCTAGCTTTTTAAATAACCTATTATAGGAAAGCTAGGAAAGCCAGCTTTTTAATATAATTTAGAATATATAACTGGATATATAAGTCTACTTTATATTACTTATTAAAATACTTAGATAGCTAGTTATTATTATAGCGTTTATAATATAATTAAATTAAAATATAGATATCTACTTTTATTTATATTACTAGCTGGTGATAAGATTGCCTATTACCAACCTAATCGCTCCGCTAACATAAACCATAGAACCACTCTAAGGTTTATCCCTTAGAAACAGCTAACCTATAGGACCCGGTTCGTTACACTAGGTCTTAAGAGCTTTAAACTTAGCCTTTAATTTATTATAATTAGCTTAATTAACTATATTTTCAGCTAGTATATTTTTAAGCTTAATATTACTATTATAATTACTTTAAGCTTTACTTTTATAATTAGTATTATTATCTAAAACTCTAAAGCTTATAAACTGCTAAGATCTTAATGTTTTATTACCTATAGGTCTAAGGTAATTATCTAAATAAGAGTTATTATTATATAATAAACCAGGTCCTATAAGTACTATAGGTTAGCTATTTCTAAAGGATAAACTTTAAAGTAATTCTATAATTTATATTAGTAAAGTAATTAAGTTAGTAAATAAGTAATTTTATTACTAACTAGTAATATAAATAAAAATAAATATCTATATTTTAATTTAATTATATTATAAACGCTATAATAATAACTAGCTATCTAGGTATTTTAATAAATAATATAAAGTAAACTTATATATCTAGTTGTATATTCTAGATTATATAAAAAGCTAGTTTTCCTAGCTTTCCTACGATAAATTATTTAGAAAGCTAGCTTTCCTAGCTTTCCTAGTCAAGGAGTACCGTCAGTCCTAATTAATCTATCGGTCTATAGTTAATCCAGTCTAGGCCAACCTATTGGCCCGTTGTCGCAACCTTAAGAGCCAGGTTGTGACAGATAAAATTATAGAAGCTATTGCCTGTTTTTATAATTTTTTATTTTTAAACATATAGGCTACTGGAGATAGAAATTATATATATAAGGTGCATAAGCTAGTGTAAGAAGTAATATAGTATAGCCTTAGTAGAATAGAATAAAAGAAAGAGGGAAAGTATTTCTTAATTACAGTACTTAAGATTATTTTAAGTCTTTTCCTAATTAGTAGACTAGAGGTATAAAATAAATACGAGAAGTATATTATATATACGCAGCAGGTATATAAGTAGGCTATATTTTATAAAAAAGAGTTAACGGCGGTAAACTTATTAACAAGGCTGTTAGATTATCTATATAAGCGTGGAAGATAAAGAGAGAGGGAGATTACGGACTAAAGAGCATATAGATTACGAAAGATAATCTTAGGTAATAAATATCCTAATATAATTACAAGTGTGGTAAGGCTTACAGAGATATATTATATATTTAGCAGGTATAAAGAGGCAGAAGGAATAAAGGTAGAAGTATTTACACTACGGCGGAAGATTTTTAGCAATAAGTATTCTTATATAATCTTAAGTATAATAAATTTTACAGTAATATATTATATACTTAGCAAGTATAAAGAGGCAGAGGGAATAAAGGTGGAAGCACTGGTACTATAGCAGGAGATTTTTGGTAATAATTATCCTTATATAATCTTAAGTATGGTAAGTCTTGCAGCGACATATCGTACACTGGGGAGGGATAAAGATGCAGTGAAGTTAGCTTAGGATTAAAGGTTAAGCTAGGTGCGTCATTCTCGCGCTGTCAGGATCTCTGCGCTCTAAAATTGCAGAAAAAGCTAGTTGTTTGGAATCAGGAGATGATGCTGTAAAAGCATTGACGAAATGGAATACATCACATAATGAAATACATCACATAATGATCGTGATTAAGGACAAATTAAATTAAAAATTATAAATATTAAATTTTCTCCATGATTTAGATCTAATCAAAAATGCAACCGTAAAGCCAGTACGGGTAGAGCGACGATGCATGCAACGTCACTTTAAGTGGTTACGAGATATCTAACACTCGCTGCTGTTGTAGCTAATGATAATCACTACGTACCTAACAGTCTTAGTGGCACTGTCGCGACCCGAGCACGTGAGCCAAAGGCTTCTATATACTTATAACTACTTAAAAGAACTTGACTCTTACGGTCTATAGTGGATTTTAGGGCACGTGCTAGGGTTTCTCAAGCTATTATATTCAGCCACTTCTGGCAGTCCAGTTCAGCTGAGTACTGTAGAGTACTGCAAGGTACCAAGGGTCCGTGCGCCTTCTCTTTAAAGAAAGAGAGAGAGAGGAAAAGAGGAAACCGATCATGAACATCATTGTAATAAAACAAACAAACAAACAGGACACTAGTCTCTAGTGGCTCACTTGATATCCGCAAAGACTTTAATCACGCACCCTTTCTAGGTCCTTTCTTGAGCCACTTTTCCTTCGCTTCCTTCTGGGCTTCTATCTCTAAGCTTAAATTGAAAGTCAAGTCAACTTCAACTTCTTCAAGCTGCCTCCCTCCTCTACAAGACTGCTCCAGTCCTTCCTATCCGCCAATAGAGATCTAAAGCCGCTGATTTGTCCCTGGGTGTACTTCATCTATACTGAGTTATAGGTAACCAGTTCGTTGTGGCAATTAAAGCCAACCAATAAATATTTGGTCCGGATGAGTATTGTCACGCCTACTGTATTCTATATGAGTGAGAGCAGCGAAGAATAAGAGTGTTTTTGCTGTTAATAAGCCCGTCATCCAAGTCACCCCCGACGCTTATGTGTCTACTAGGCGCGGCTTGTCCCACTGTTGGACAATGGCCGAGCCTAATGTAGCCCCAAGCGGTTTCTAGATGTCAAGCATGGGGCGATGCGTGACGAACCGGTACCTATAAGGTTAGTATAGGAATATCCCCAATAGACAAATTGCAGTTCTAGGTTTATGTTGGCGGATAGGCCTGGTCGGTATACGGGCAATGTAACCAAGCAGCTAGTAGAGAGGTAATCAATCTAATTGCCATGTTAACAACTGCCTATTTAAGCTATCTAAATGAGCGTAGAGAAGTAAGCTTTTACGTCCAGTTGATTGGATGTCCTCGATGGCCTCGACGGTCGATTCGTCAAGTAAGATTTGATTGGTGGCTCAGTGAATAGTTATTCCGGGTCGCCCTATCCCGTAGGCCCATTGTGGCGACCTATATGTGTTGGGCCGTGACACGTTGCCATCATTAGTTGCATCTTTGCTTCTCTGCCAGTGACACTAACTGCGGCAAACTTCGATTTGGGGGGGAGCCGCCGCTTACGGCTTCGGTCTTCTTGCTCAATAACACGAATTGCAGCAGGGATAGACTCTACCCCTCGTTTGCCGCTTTTTGGTTGCGCATGCAGCTTGCGGTGAGTGTTGAGACTGTCTTGACGATTGAACTGGCTCTTTCCGCAGAACTCGCAAGAAAATCGATTAGGACCCTCTCCATGAAAACTTACGGGCAGACTTTATTAGTACTATGCCGATGTGCTCCTTTGGGGCTAGAAGATACTCACGTTTGCTTATGGCGCTTGAGATGCTCACCTCTCTTGAAGGCTTTATCGCAGTTGGGATAATCGCACTTGCACCTAGCCTCCTGCACTAGGTTGTATGAGTTATCATTTTTCTCAGACACCTTCCTTGAAGCCCGGATTTCCTTATGAAGCCCTGTTGCCTTGTATCGGATTTCGTTAACCATCATCTGCCTCTCTGTTGAATATTCGCCGGGGGCCACGAGTGACCTATGGGGGTAGTATCGTCCCATTAGAGTCTGGGAATATTGATAAAGGCCCAAGGGCTCAAGAGCTTGTGGAGACTGTAAGAAAGGCATGGGGCTGTCGTTGCCGCACAACCATGATAGCGCATTGTCTGCCATATCTAAGCCAGGGATATTGTGTGTAGGTTTCATAATTGAAGGTGTTAGCTGTAGGGATGCTTCAGTGTAACTGGGTGATGGATCCAAAGGGAGTTTGAATCCATGGAATGTTCGGTAGTATTGTTCATGTCGAGCATGTGGTTGTAAGGCGTAATGTCGCTCATTTTCTTCAGCGATGTCGAAGGGAGAAGAAGCCCCTTCGGTGGAAGTGGAAGACGTCCGCCCGTGCTCCGCTTTCATGGGACTAAACGTGTACGTATGCGTCGCCTTCGACGGTGAGTCTCTAAACGATCGGTAGGTGCTGCTGAAACCGATTCTGAGCGCGTTAGGCGTAGAACGATGAGCAGCGGATGTGTCGACCTCTTGCGGAGAAAATGAGTTAAAGGAAGTTGAAAGGCACGACGTTGCTAGACGGGAGCCGCAATCTCTCTGATACCCGTATGACACTGGCTCGGGGAATTGCATTCCGGGTTGTTGAGGAAATCGTTTTAGCTAACCGTAACCGTTTTTTTTTTAGGTGTTGGTGTTGAAGTAGCATAAGATAAGGTTCACTTCAAATAGAAAATCATTCTGAGCAAAGCAGAACGACTAGGTAAATGTGAATAGGTTGAGCGTGCATGGACTTAGGAAATGATGGAAATGGAGTCAGAAATACTTTATTACAACGAGGGCGGACACTTGACAATCAATCATATATCGTAATGAATATACAGTATAATGGGGATGCTGTGAGCTGGCCTGAGACTCAGTAGACTATAGAAGCAGAAGGATTGCAAATGAAGTAGAGTTTGGTCCTTGTTCACGCATGTCTCACACAGCCAGCCGTTTCCATAGGCCAACCAAAGGCCAGAGTCTAGGCCAGAACCCACTGTAGGAACTATACGATTAGGTACTACACTTAAATCTGCTCCCTTCTCTCCTTATGTACTAAATCTTTTTCTGCACAGACCGCATCTCTCCGTCTTATACCACATTTAAAAAAAAAACGCTTTTTTATGACACGTTAGGATGCAACTTGGTATTGAGGGCATATCAGGACCGCTCGATATAATGTACGTACTCCTTTAGCTGCTCGCTCACTACTAAGGGTGCAGTAGCTTAAACCCCTCAATCAGACATGGTTCAAATTTGAGACAGTTCTAACCCTCGCCGCGCAATAGACCAACCTCGCTTATGGGCGAGACCGTTGCAGTCAAACAACTAAATCATACTCCAGACCTGTCTTAATCACAATGCAAGACGGCACTGCATGCGGGCCACAGCTGTCTCCCCCATATGTGTTATTTCCTTCCTAAGAGGAAGAGAGTGGGGTTCCTTTCGCAAATTCTAGGCGGCAGCGTGACATGGCTGGCTCTATGCCCATGTCAGTCTGTCTGCCTCACACCAAGTTCCCTCGCCAGGTTGCCTCTGATTCCTCCCTGCAGCACCTCATGAGACACACTTGAGGCCCTCACGTGGGAGGTTGGGCCGTTGAATCATTGAGCCGTCCCATCATTGGGCATCTAGCTAGTCTGCGGCTCGGGCCCCTTCCGGCGTTGCTCGCCCAGCCCGTTGCCTCCACCCGCGCCTACCTTTGCGGCCTGGTATTGGATCCGTTAACCATTCGTATTGCGTTTATTTTCAAGGAAAATAGCTAACTAATACTGGCGAGGACTGACCGCTGAGGCCGGAGGGCTATAAACGCTTAGCTAAATAAGCGAGCTACTATTTATAATAATTAAAACGCCACAGATAAAATCCCGCTCTAGGAATAAGTATATAATCTATTAAAATACCCGGAAGTAGGATGCGACATTAGGCCATACTGCTGGTGTAACCCAGCTACTGGTATATATTATACTATACCGACTAGTATTTTAATAAAACTAGTCCAGTATACTACTATAAGAGAGGTAGAAAAATTAAAAAGCATAGTAATATTCTAAAATATTACCAGAATAAAATATTAAATCTACTAAGTAAGAAGAATAGGTTAAAGGACCCTAGATTAATATTATAAATATAATACCTGGAGCCAAGATAGTACTACCTCTAAAGAAGTTAAAAATTATAGGTCGTAGAGATAAAGCTATAAAGCATTACCGTAATTAATACTGTAAATAAGTAAATAATCCAGATTAAAAAAAAGAGTTCTATACTATTACTAGGCTTATATTCTAAGTACGTCTTCCTCTTAATTAGCTGTTTAAGGCGTAGGATAAAGAGATTAAATTTTTCGTTTTATATAAGATACTGTAAGGTATAATATATTAGTAGGTAAGTATAGTAAACTAATGCAAAGAGTTAGAAGAAGAGTAGTAAATAAATTTATCAGCGGGACTAATAGTAGCTTAAATGCTTATTAAAACTGTATAAGTAATAGAAATACTGCGCGACCTTCCTTGTGGCTTCTTTGTTGTATTTGCTTATAATATTAATCCTTAGTGATAGGATACTTACCTTAAAATTCGAAATAGGTGTCATGGGTTTTCTTAGTTAATTTAGTAATAAGGAGACGGCTATTTGTGGACTCGTACCTTTAAGTATCCAATGTACTCAGCAGGTACTGTGGAGCACTATAACAAAAGCCAGGACAGGCGCCACGTCATCCCCGGCAGTAGGTAAATATTACTTTCTGTCTCTACCTCTGATGACATTACAAAGCAGAGGACTATTGTGCATAGAGACAATGAAATATGTATTTTACAGTATTATACCCTGTCACCATGATTCTGCAAATGTCATCTCGTTGCGGCGCATTCGTGCGAGACAAACTGATGTGTTGCTCACATGCCGCTACGGCGTTCTCGTCTGCGTTTATGTACGTAGCAAATGAAGGGGTATCATTCGGCAGAATTGCATAAAAGGCATACCAATCTAAAGCTGCATAAGCGAGCTAACTTATTCCACCAATAGCACTATCAGCACCCGTCATCATTAAGCCGTACCCCGCTTCCCAAATTATTTATATTCCATAACTCCTGTAGCCATTCTTTCTTCTAATCAAGTCTTATAAGTTTTATAAGTTATTTTATTTTATCACTTTTAAGTGGAACAGTAGATCCGCATCTATAAGACGCTATGAGTGAAAGTCCCGAAATACCTGACGAGATCATTGAGTGCTTCAGACCAAAAGTTTTTCGCGGCAAATACGGGACCCTATCGAAATTTTTTCTTCAGCTTAAGACCTTTGAGCGCCTCTTTCCTACCGTGCTCGTAGAGCCAGCTGACAGAATTATACATGCATCAACGTATTTAAAAGGCCGGGCTGCCTCCTTTTTCGCGCCAACGCTACTCGATTATCTTGACAATCCTGCTGCCGAGCAAAAGAAGGAGACACAAGAGATCTTTGCCGATTTTGAACGCTTTGAAGCATATATGAGTCTATATTTTGGGACGGCCGAGGATAGACGGAATCATCCCTACACTGCTGTATAAACTGTATAAAAAGACTTGGATCTTATGAGGCGGCTAGAGGCGGCGGTGGAGCGCAATTTGGAGAGACTTACAGGGACGAGGCTGGGCGTCAGTAGCTGCCAGCTAGTATGGGATTAAGGCAGCCACGAGGATGATGACAAGGACGACTACGAGGCCGATATAATGTAAGCCAATAGCCTGGGGGATGAGCAACCTGGCCACCAAACTTTTATAACCGGTGTGGTTTGTGGGGGGCTTGTTATCGAGGCAGGGTTCGGGTTAGTGGATTCGAAGGAACGGTATAGGGTGGTGAGTGAGGAATGGCATTGCTTTCTCCAGATGCTGTCCAGCCTTACGTCCATATACTTAGACCAAGGCCTGTGGGAGGAAACCGAGGAGCTGCAGGTGCAAGCGTTAGATACTCGCAAGACAAATCTTGGATCCGGCCACCTAGATACACTTGTAAGCATAAATAATCTCGCATATAATCAGAACAATCAGAGTGGTTTAATCGGCTGTATACATCAGGTCAGGGCGAATTATGAGATATCTGTGATGTCCCGGTCTATACCTAGAGTATAGAGTGGGTCCTGAACGTACAAAACTAAGACTTTGGGTTTATATTTACAGAGAAGACAGGTGAGATCTTGTTGGGCGGGCTTGTAGTCAGAAGTCCTAAACTTAGATTGGTCTCGATACTATGTTAACGACTGACTCTCTAAGCTATCTAATGAGCCAAACGGCTTCTTATATAGTAAGTTTTTTCTAGAGGAGCGTTATAGCCCATCGCTCCTGGCGACTATGAAGCGCTCGCAGCGACAAACAATTGAGGTTGGCATCATAATACACACTATATCCTTCGACGATACGGTCTCATACCTGCATACCGAAAACCGCCTGGTAAAATTGGACAGGGAATATCAAACCGAATCCCAATCTACGGCGGCAGCTCAAGTTATGTCTCCAGATTCAGATCCGGCTCAGAATCAGGATCAATGCGGACCCATTGCTAATAATGCTTAGAAGGCAGAACTTCTGGTTACGGCCTAAGTACCGAAAAAGGTTGGATCACCTGGAATGGGGATAATACTGTGGCTTCCGCCCGAATACCAGCGTCCCACGTCGGCCATATTGCCTTATGCATCACCTTTTGCGTCGCCACAGGTGCTGCTAACAGACGTAGTTATAGCACTAATAATTTTAGAAAAGAGTTAGTAATTCGGATGCTTAGTTCCAGGCTATCTCTCTTGTAATAACCTCTGAGCGCGACACATCTTTCTTTCTTTTTTTTTTGTCTCTCATAATTTTGCAAAGTGAAAGGTCGTAGGGGGCTATGTTGAAGTATAGTATTTTATAAACGAGCGAGACGAACTTTCTTATATCTCCTAGTAGTGTAATATTATGTAAGTGCAAGCAAAGGCAACATAGTGACGGTAGAAAGATATAGACTTGTATGTATTAATATGTATTGGCTTTATATACTCAATCTAATTCATTTACGTAGGCATTCTTCGAGCTCTCAATAGTAAATAACTCCCAAAATATATTTATAATCCCCCTCCGGATACTCTATTGTAATACTAGAATAACGGAAATAACCTTTAGCGCTCTTACGCTTTGCACCTACCTAACTTATACACCACTTAAGGAAGCGACTAAATAGCAGCCCTTTGGTATTACGGGAGTACTATTCTTTCTTTATAAAACATTTTACCTTCCTAAAGTATTCCTCTATAGAGTTTAAGTTAGGTAAATATAGCAAAAGTAAAAAAAACTTAACTCTAGTAGTTAAATAAAGCTTTATTAATTTTTATTCTTTATAAAAGTGTTACGACCCAACAACTTATGGTCGCAACTGGCAGACCTACAGGGTAGGCACCACGGACAAACAACGGTCCGCACGAACCAATCAGGATTGTGTTCACTTCTCGTAAAGTGAACACCAGTGAACAGTTACCCAATTAGGAAGATGTTCACTTCCACAAAAGTAAACACAAGTGAACATCACATTATATATACAACTTCTCTACGCTCGTTTAGAATAGTTTAGATAGCCAGTTGTGAATATAGAATAACGCTTAATTATACTTATAAGTATTATCTACTAGTTGTGTGAATAAACCCCTCTTATCCTTGTTAATTGCCCGCCAGTCCAGCCTGGCCTATCCGCTAACATAAACCTAGTATAAGGTTTGTCCCTTGGGAATTCCTCTTATACTAACACTATAGGAGCTCAGCTTATTACATATTTACAACTCTTGTTCGGAGGTCACCTTAGACCACGGGCAATATTCGTTACAAGGATACTAAATGGTCGAATTCCACGCACTAGACGAAGGAACAGATTAAGAAAGTGAAGTCCAGAGCACATACGGAAGCGACATCGAAATTTCGGACTTATTCGAGGAAACTACCGAAATAATAAATCCCAACATAGAAGGAATCACGACTCCTTAACCACCGGCCAACGATGCCGAAGCACGACAGCGCTTCCTAGACCTTGAAGCCTTGGTTACCTGTATGGAACAAACTATCAGGGACTAACAAGACACTATCAATACGCTCAATGGACGACTTAACGCTCAACAATAAGGGCAACCACCCGCGGCTTAAGGCCAGCAGGGAGGTCCCCGCAAGAAGGAACCAGGTGAGATCATCAAGCCACCTCTGCTAACACTATTCGATGGGGACCTACGAAAAATTAAGGGATTCCTCACGGATATGAGGTCCTATTTCAGGCACTTTCTAACCACTATGGCCCCGCTGGAACGATGAGTCAGCGTCGCAGGAAGCCGACTCATTAAAGGACCCAAGAATTAGTTTAAACCATACCTTCAAGACTTTAAGTAATACGACCGAGCCGAAAGAAAGGCCACTACCAACGCACTCTTCGACAGATATAAAGAATTCGAAGACCAACTCAAGGCGCTATTCGGCCAAATCGATGAAAAGAAGGAAGTAGAAAACGCACTGCTAAAACTCCAATAATAAGGCGCATGCACTAAATACACTGCCGAGTTTATTCGAATCTGCGCTAAAACAGACCTTGAAGATGTAGCTAAGAAAATGCTATACTATTAAGGACTAAAATCGGAAGTAAAAGATAAACTGGCACGAGACGATCTTCCGGCTACGTTTGAAGCACTCTCCAAAAAGGCTAGTCGTATCGATGACCGACAATTCGAACGACGGAAAGAAAAGCAAGCTGAAAAAGGAGGAAACGACAAGGTACATCGCCGCCTCCAATATCATGCTAATCAAAGTAAGAAACGCGACTTGGCCTTATCGAATGATGGGAAACCAGGACCGATGGATCTGGATACCATCAACACCTGCAAGTTCACGGGCAAATGCAACCACTGTGGTAAGACAGGCCATAAGGAAAAGGACTGCTGGAGCAAATACGGGAAACCCGACAATTCTAAAAAATCCACCTACGAGAATAAGAAGTTTAACAAGGTTCAGATTAACACTATCGAAACCGTACCCCATAACTTACTCAGTTGGACCGGCTGCTATGACGATCAATGTCTTATGCATAAGGAAGAAAAGGAAATGACGAAGTGGTACCCCAAGGCACCCAAAAGAAAGCAGCTAAGACGAATTACGGTTAACACCATAACTTCCGAAGAAGCTAAATAACAACCAGAAGATAGGGTCGACAGCAACTGGCCTGCCCCTATGACTCAGGAAGAATATGAAACCGACAGGGCACGAGCCGAAGCCCTTAATGTTCCACTCACAGAAGAAGAAAAGGAATAAGAAAATGCCTTTATCCGCCGATGGAAAGAAGAGCATAGGAAAAAGCAAGGATACACCGACCTTAATATCTCGGAACTATGCGCAAACTGTGGATTACGAGAACCCCAGGGACTGAATCACCCCTGTGGATAGGAACCCTCTGACCACGGCTCGGAAGGGATAGAGGCACACGACTCGAGCGAGTTCCAGCAGATGCTCAAGCAGCATGGAATCACTTAACGACTAGCGCTAAATAACGACGGGTTAGCGGAACGCGCTAATACGAACCTATACTACCCTATTATGACCAGAGACCAGTTCCTCGAATGGGAAGAAATGCAACTCATGTATGATACCCCGTTCACGGAAAACTGCGAACGTTCGACGATAAAACGATGCAACAAGACATTATGCACCGAACACTGGGAAACCAAGATTTATGACTGGCACTTCTGGATTCAGCACGGCAACTTGTATAATGAGAACTGTACCGAAGCGGACCCAGACAGATGCCCTAACCTAAGATGTGGCCAGCACCTCGACTACAAGATCGAAGGATGGCACAATTAAAAGGAAGAACTAGAATGTCCTAAGCCTAACCCCTTACGATGCTACAACGACAATTGTAAGAAGCATCAAACCGCAAAAGAAGACTATAGGCAACTCCGACAACGGTTATGCTATAACGGATTCAACTTCGAAACCTACGCTAAGGGCTACGCTTACAGAAGGGACATCATACACTTCCACAAGTATTACATTAACGAGATCAACACTAATAAATGTTAATGGTGCCGGAAGCTTCGACAATAACGAGCACGACGATGGAGAACGAATGACCTTGATGTCATCCACGCTGACGCACTCACTTATAATATTACGGAAGAAGATCGTACTCCGGGAAAGATACGAATCGACACGGTTAAAACAACCGGAATGAAGAAACTTAGAATTAACGCGTAACTTAATAATAGTGCCGTCACTGCGTATATTAACAGCGGAGCAGATCGCAATCTGATCTCGCTACGACTGATTAAGGAACTATGAATCCCCGTTCAACGGAAGGAACGAGCGCTACAAATCATAAGCGTTACGGGAGCAGAAGTGGAAGAAGGACTTATCGAATACGAGACTGATCATCTTCCCGTAACTATTAACGGGAACACCCATAATGTCTAATTCAGTGTTCTAGACATGCCGAAAGATGATATTCTTTTGGGCCATCCCTGGTTACTCGATAACGACCCTATTATCCGATGGAAGACCAAGAAGGTCTATTGGGACATCAAGGATGTACCTGAATATTAACTATGCCAGAGAGAACGAAAGGGCGAAGCCGCGCTGCCGGAAGAACCGGAATCCTCTGCGCCAATTACGAAGAAAGCGAAAACAGTCAGGTTTAAAGAAAACAAATCACCGGTACCACCATAATACGATAAACGACGTGAGAAAGCAGAACGCATCTGCATCGACAGAATCACGACACGATTCAAAGACGAGCTAGTAGCACTTAATGATGCACTAAACAAAGTACGAGAAAAAGAGGAATTAGGAGAACTCAACAACACTCTCGCCAAAATACCTCGCCAGTATAGGAAGTTCCGAAAGCTGTATAAGGCAATATTGGACACTGGGTTACCACTATACTCGCAGTGGGATCACTGTATCGAGTTGGTAGACGGAAAACAACCCAAGACCTACAAGATCTACAACCTCAACGAAAAGGAACTTAAAACCTTGAGGGAATGGCTGGACGAACAACTGGAAAAAGGATACATCCGAGTTTCCAATTCATCAGCAGGATACCCTGTGATGTTTATACCAAAGAAAAACGGGAAGTTGCGACTAGTTATCGACTATCGACAACTCAACGAAATCACTATTAAGGATCAAACACCGCTGCTACTGATCTCTAAAATCAGAGACAGGCTAGCAACTGCAAAATAGTTTACGGCCCTCGACTTAAAAGGAGCCTACAACCTTATTTGAATCAAGGAGGGAGACGAATAGAAAACGGCGTTCAGAACGCGCTACGGATTATTCAAATATTTAGTTATGCCCTTCGGACTCACCAACGCGCCAGCCACGTTCCAAAGAATAATCAACGAAGTCCTTAAGGAATACATTAACAGGTTCGTCATCGTCTACCTCGACGACATACTGATCTACTCCGACACCTTGGAAGAGCACGAACGACATATGCATTAAGTCTTGGAAACACTGTAAGCAGTAAACTTGCTAGTGGAACCAGAGAAATGTTAGTTCTATGTCTAGAAAGTCAACTTTTTGGGATATATTATCTTACCAGGACGAATCGAAATAGACCCTGCTAAGATAGCAGCCATTAAGGAATAGAAGGTCCCCGAAACCGTAAAGGAAGTACAGAGCTTCCTCGGTCTAGCGAATTACTACCGAAGGTTTATTAGGAACTACAGTAAGATCGCAACACCACTTACGGATCTTACCAAAAAGGATCCCAACGACAAGGTTAAGAAGAACCGACCGATTAAATATACAGGAAAGGCCCTGGAAGCCTTCAAAGCGCTCTAAGAAGCTATTACTAGCGCACCAGTGCTACGAATATACGACCCTAAGAGACCCGTCATTGTTGAAACGGACGCCTCGAACTATGCAATCGGAGGAGTTCTTAGCCAACGAGACGACGAAGGGATACTGCATCCAGTAGCCTTCTTCTCTAAGAAACTCCACGGACCTGAATTATAATATTCCACCTATAACTAAGAACTTATAGCCATCTTTAAAGCATTCAAGGAATAGAGATCGTACCTATTGGGCAACGAGCACAAGATCACTGTATATTCCGACCACAAGAATCTTGCAAGTCTCGCCACGAAGGAAATAGATATCTCCACACGGTAAGAAAAGTATCTTCGGCTTATGGCCAAGTACAACTTCGAGATCATACCCTGTAAAGGATCAGAAAATGGTCGAGCAGACGCTCTCAGCTGCAGAGAAGACCACTTCGAACTAATACCGAAACTTACCTCGCTAATATTTTAAGAAACGGCAGAAGGCCACTATGAACTAGTAGCTATTAATACCCTCTTCACGATCGAAGACGGAAACCCTATCCTCGATAAGATTAAGGATGAAGTCAGCAACTGGACACTAGATCAGTTCCCTGAGGATGTGACCCTTACTAAAGGAATTCCGTACAGAAATGAAAAAATCTAGGTACTAGAAACACTATAATAGGAAGTAACTAAGACGGTCCATGAACATCTACTATATAGACACAAGGGAGTCACAAAGACACTGCAATAAGTTCAGCGATACCACGCCTTCACAGGCATAAAGAAAGTCGTTAAGAAAATCATTCAGCAATGCATCCTATGCGCAAAAACGAAGTCAAGTCGACAAAAACCTTACGGCAAACTGCAACCATTACCCGTTCCAGAGCACCCATGGAGCTCTATCTCATTCAATTACATTATTAAGCTGCTACTATCAAAGGAGCCTATAACAAATATAGTATACGACAGCATCTTCGTTATTATCGATAAATTAACGAAACAAGGTATCTTCATCCCATACAAAGAAAACAGTATAGTAGAAGAACTAGGCTATACGATACAAAAGTATATAGCCTCGAAATACGGATTACCTACGGAAATCATTTCCGACAGAGGATTAACGTTTGTGTTGAAATACTGGCAAAGCGCTGCAGCAAGAATGGGAACGAACCATAAAGCCAGCACCGCTTACCACCCTTAAACGGATGGACAAACGGAACGCGCCAACCAGATCGTCAAAGCATACTTACGAAGTTACATTAACTTCGACCAAAACAACTGGGTCAAGCACTTACTAAACGCAGAATTCTCCTACAATGATTCAGTTTCAGAATCGATAAAGCTCTCGCTATTCTACGCCAATAAAGGATACCACCCATAAGCGTATAAGATACTGCGAAAAGGAGAAGATATACAGAAAGCTATGCTTAAAGTAGATAAGCTTAAGGAATTACACCAAAAACTGCGCGCGCAACTTAAACTCGTGCAAAAACGCATGAAGAAGTATGCGGACAGGAAAAGGCTTGGAGGACCAACCCTTCAGGAGGGAGACATAGTCTACCTACTTCAACACACTCAAGGGGAAAAACAAGCTAACATCAAGACAAACAGGCCAAGCGACAAGCTAGACTATAAGAAAGTCGGGCCTTATAAAATTTTAAAGAAAATCGGCAAAGTCAACTATGAACTGGACCTCCCAGAGCAACTAAACAAACGAGGAAAACCAGTCCACCCGATTTTTCACATCTCACTATTGGAAAAAGCACTAATAGATAAAGATACGGGAGAACTTATTAGGGATGAAATCGTTATTCAAGGCGAAGAACTCGAATACGAGGTTAATAAAATAACATCGCTAAAAATAGATGAAGCAACCGGTGAACTCCGATACCTAGTAGAATAGAAAGGATACGACAGAGATGCAGACAGCTGGGAACCAGAAAGCAATTTCGAATACGCCAGCGTTGCTCTAAAAACCTTCCAAAATAAACTCCGCAAACAATTGCAAGTACGATAAGAACAAATACGAGAAGAACCGGAACGCCCTGCGAAACCTAGGAAGACGATGAAGGAGCACCCTCCAATAAGGCAAGAGGATCTAGACCTAAGAACACCAAATCAGCATCTAAGGAAGGCTACTCAACCCCGCTCATAGACTGCACCTCGCGAAGAAGCTGCGCCTCTTCGCACTGCACACAAGCCAGCTCGGCCTGCCTTTCCTCCTCTTCTTAACGATCCGCCTCTTCCATCTCCTCGGCATTCAACCCACGATTCACCATTTCCACACCCCGATCACGAAGCATACAACGAAGCTTCCGAAGACGCATCAGACGGGCTAACGCCTCATCCACCAACTTCTATTGCTCCGCCTGCTAACGACGGCGTTCCATAAGAACCTCCTCCGCAAGTTCCTCCTGCCGTTTAAAACGACGAAGCTCCTCGGTAATATAATCCACTGCAAAAGTCAGTAGGATAAAACGAAGGAAACATAGTAACTTACAGTTCAACATCGGAGCACGAGAACTATTGCAAGAACGACCCAAGCCGCAGTAATAAGCATAGTTAACAACACCCTCAATCACTATATAATAAATCCTTTTGTCTAAGCACTGCGTACAAGGTACTACTTTAAATCTAAAAGAATGAATAAAATTCGGTTAGGAATTTCAGTAATCTGTAGAACGCAACTTCGACGGCGCCTTTAGCTTTTCAACACGATTAGGCATAATAATAATTAAAGAAGGAAAATACTCACCCAATAAACAAGGGGGCCGCAGCACTTATATAGGATACAGACTAGGCCTTAAGGACAAGACCAACGGGAGGGGAGTATCATATTACGACCTAACAACTTATAGTCGCAACTAGCAGACCTACAGGGTAGGCACCACGGACAAACAACAGTCCGCACAAACCAATCAGGATTGTATTCACTTCTCATAAAGTGAACACCAGTAAACAATTACCTAATTAGGAAGATATTCACTTCCACAAAAGTAAACACAAGTAAACATCACATTATATATACAACTTCTCTATGCTTGTTTAAAATAGTTTAGATAGCCAGTTGTAAATATAGAATAACGCTTAATTATACCTACAAGTATCATCTACTAGTTATATAAACAAACCCCTCTTATCCTTGTTGATTGCCCGCCAGTCCAGCCTAGCCTATCCGCCAACATAAACCTAGTACAAGGTTTATCCCTTAGGAATTCCTCTTATACTAACACTATAGGAGCTCAGCTTGTCACAAAAAGCTTATATTATTTATTATAAAAACAGACTTAGGCTATAGAAATATTTTATAATAGTAAAGCAGTTACTTAATAAAATCTTTAAATATAATATAATTAATTAAACCTTAAAAAATATAAAAAAGTATAATTTTATCTTAAGTATAAGCTAAAATAAACTAATACCTAGCCTTATATTTAAACTCTGTAACAGTTACTAGCGTAATTCCTATAGAAGCCTATCCTTTCCGCTGTTACACTATTAAAAAATTACACCTAGACTTATTAATAAAGATTAAATAATATAATTTATACTTTAAAAGCTTATAATAGTATAGGTGCTGCAGCACTAAGTTCCTTTGCTTTGCGACACGACGTGATACCTTTTTAGACTACCTAATCGATTGCAAGGCTCGGGTGATGCTGCTAGGCGATACCTCCACATCAAATTCACCTCGAAACTATGATACTATTTCTTCGCGGTACATACAGTTTGGAAGAAATGTGGCTGATGCGGGCATCGTGCGGAGGATCTTCAGATCGGTGGGATACTATTACTAGCTCTGTCTGGTAGCAACGCGACCGGCCAGGCCATACCACAACAGAGCCAGAGCAAACTTATCATCACTCACAGCATGATTGCCCCGCAACCTGAGGGGCGTGGCCTACGCCACCACGATGCCACTTACTGATATCGCCACAAAGCATTCTACTAACGTCACATCTCCGCAATCGGCTGCGTAGCATTCGAGTTATTAACTATAACACTAGCCCGAGCTGTTGCCCGCTAAGAGCATTATTTACTCCAGCCACTGACTTAAGGTAAGGGAGTTCTCATCAGGATATATGTATCCATTTCTTTCTATTATAGCAAAGGATCAATGCCTACGTCAAAACATTACCAAGATCTAAGATGCATGGCAAGCGCCACAGCAAAACGCAGATGCTCAGCGAAGGTCGGTGTCCAATCAATCGATGGCTCATTGTACGACCAGGCTAGCGGTGTACCGCTTGCACTCGAGACCGACCTCTTTAGCTACACTTCTGCCATTTCTCCAACTCTAGCCTGCGAAAGCCTATATTGCCGGAATATCAGCACAGTAGAAAGCAGCCCTCTATATAGTGCTTCTCAAAATGTTAGAGTGAGTCTCTTGTCTATCAGCTGCAGGCGCTTAGCTGAATGTGAACAGAATCAATCACGTCAACCACCCAAGGCCGAGAAAGCAGGATGTTCCAATTACGGCAGTGATATGCGCTTCGGTAACGCCGACACAACATCTTCTTATTATAATAACCAACATTCCCCGCAAGATGTTCCTACATCGTCACTGAGCTATGAGCTTTCTTTAAGACAGCCACACGATTATACGCAATTTGCATCACTCAGCAACATGCAACGGCCGGAAACAAGCTTTGTCGGTGGGGCGATATATACCCCCCCCCCCCCCCCCCCCCCNATGGCAGAATCTAGTTCCAGTCGAGCCCTTAGGTCTGCATATGCAGAATATAGAGGTCAATGTTTTGCCTGGTGACCCAGCCTGGCCCAAGCAAAGCGCGTGGCCCGTTACCCAAGCTAACTGTGAGAGTCTCGCCAAGCCCCCTAAGCACACCGATGCAGAGAACGCCATAAGCTGCATCATAGAAAACTTAGTACAGATGGAAATTCGATTACGAAACTATACACGAAAGCAACTTGCAGAAGTAAAATGTAGCTTTCAGGACTCTCCCTGATCTCTTCCATAGCAAGATTCAACCAGCCATTGGCGTATCAGGCATCAGAAGGTAGCTCTTACCTTACAGGAAAAAAGAATACCAAATGGAGAACCCCAGTAACAAAGGGTAGTGCTCTTGAATTTGGCAAGAGATTATTCAACACACAAAAGCTTACAGCCCAACGATCTCATCGTTAATAATACAGCGTCGATAGTAATGATATCAAGAACATCACACCAGCGCTTTTCTAGTATGGTTGACATCCTTTGTTAGAGCTAGTGAGCTAAAATGATTAGTTAATTTAATCTAAAGAGATGCCACATATCTCCCTATCTCTAGTGTTCTGCCTTAAGTAAGGGTGAACTGTGATTCTATAATAGTCAACAAATAGAGGTAGAAAGCTATGAATCATAGTGACATAGTGATTATTACATACATCACGACTTGCGACTTAACTGAGATGTACCGACTAGAAGCTACGGTGCCATGGTCAGTCGACTTCTACCATTGAACATTCAATATGGTTTCGTCTCCGGACTATACCATTCCTTTTTTCTTCCAGAAAAAAAATAGAGAGGTTCAGCTAATAATTGATTTGCCATGGCAGCCATGGGCGCTTATTCAAGCCCAGAGGGCAATAATAATAACAAAAACAACTTGAAAGACACCACACCACTACGTTCTGCTTTGCGGGATTTACGCAAGCTCTCTTATTCATTACAATCTCAAACTCATGAACAAATTAGACGGGTTAATGAGACGTGGCCGAATCTACATGAGACAAAGCAAGCTTCGGAAGACTACTCAGCAAGGCGAGACTCTGAAACGGAGCAAAAGAATGTTGGAAAACAATAAAGCTAAGGCTCAACCGACGGTATCTCTTTAGCGTGATTAAAACCTTTTTATTAGAACGTCTTAAGTACATTGCAATCAGGTGCTCCTTTGAAGAAAACGCGCAACTATATCCAATCTTCTATACTCGGACAAGGTACAGATGTTGTATTTGTAAGACAGCAATCTTCTTTCTTAAAGTAAGCCGGCTTAATTTGTTTTTAATTTAATACCCTTTCAAGATCCATCAATACATATATGGTTGCTTTTCATAAATTCGTTAAGGCGTAATAGAGATAGTCGAGCTTCTACATAGTAAACCTAGAGTCGAAGCTCTCTCTCCAGCAGTATTAAATTGTTAAAAGCAATTAATGATCTAGCAAACCCTGCTCCCGCTTATCCAGATAACAAGGTTTTCCGTATACACTCTCAGCGTTCAATGAATTTCATACAGTGTGCTCCGCGTCAGACAACGGGAAGTAGAGAAGTGTGAAGAGGCACTAAGAGAGTAACTCATGAGAAAGAAGCATTTTCCCACAGCTTATTAGTTAGCATATGCAAAGGACCTTGCTGTATTAGCCTCTGCTAATTAGCTGTCTCCTTCTATACTTTCAAGTCATACCGGCAGTATTAAGCTGACTAGCTGCTAACTTGTGGCTTGTCACCTGCCACTCTAGTATCTTAGCGCAATCAAACTATGAGCTGTCCACGAAGTAAAAGTCTTCCTAGATCCTCCATCGACCTTCAAACCTTTGTACAATGTCTATGCGTATGTCATTATTGATGCTAGTAAGCATACACTGTGACTTCTTCGCTGAAACGGACGTGTTTGCCTTCCCTGATAGACGACAGAAGTCTCAGGATCGATGATGGCGAGAGACGGAACTGTATACTGGCGGCTCTTTGGTTCGTAGCTACTTGTAACATCCCGTTATTTCTGATCATGCGGCCTACTGGCCTTGAGCAGCATGATTTCTGGAACATGGTCTCCACTATGCTCCTCCTTTTCAGGCTAGGCTTTTTATTAGATGCACTCGAATTACTCTTATCGTATGATGATGAAGGACCGCCACTTGTCTGTAAGGGCCCATAGAGCCAGGTAACATCGTAGTCCTTAAACCTTCAACTAGTTAGGCCTTTCCCTCCAGACAACATCTGACTTCACTTACCAATTCAGGGCCTCTGGAGGTATAGTCTTCAGCTTGTTTAGGAGTTTCATGCATATTCTTAAGGATGCATTTTCTAAGCGAGCCGCATTATCAAACTCATTTGTATTTGACATAATATATCTCCAGGATCGCTGAATGGTCTCATAACTCCAGTCGTGGGAGAAGTAGTCCACATAGTAGGATGGTCGTAGCCGCATCGACATATCGTCTTGAGCATAACTGATAATATCAGAGCTTGGCATTTTATTGAGGTCTCTAAATTAATGGGCGGAATCGGTGAGATCTCTGGATATTGATAATCGGCTTACAGCCAGTGCCCCAGTTCGCTTCTGTGTCTGTAAGAATGTGCTGCATCTCCGTATATTTCTTGTTTGGTAGCGTGACTCGCCGCGGTGGAGGATTGACATGGATAGATTTAGGACGTGTATAGTTATAGTCGAAGATCTCTGCAAGGGAAAATGAACTATATATTCGGTAACGCTTTCACCACCTCTAGAAATGTGTGGTAATATTGCATGTCTTATCCTAAAACTAGTGCATCATCCCTTTGCATCATCCCTTGGTAGGCCCCTAGGAACTTATGGGAAACTGTGCTGGCGGCGCTGGGATTGCACAGGTTGCCGCAGCTGCGTATACCTACAACGAGATAGCAGCTGGCGCATGGGTAGGCTTTTGTGAAAGCTATAGATACATGTCTAAAAATAAGCATGGCTTAGCATTATGGGTTAAGATTCATTGCATTTGGCTAACGTATCCAATGGAATGCAAGAGCTTACGGATGGAATGCATAGAATTGAGAAAGGAATTTTTACTCTTCCTTGTTGAAAGGAAATTGTACATGTGGGAAGACAGCTATGGCCCGCATGCAGACCTGTCTCATCCAAAATGCAAGACGACTTTGAAGTGTTTGACTAGAATGCTGTCGCCTATAAGCGAGATTAGTCTATTGCGCGGTGAGGATAAGGACAAGTCTCAATTTGAATCATGCTTGCTAAAAAGTCTCTAATTTTCTACTTCGAGGTAATAGCCGGAGATGTGATTTCTTCTCCCACATGTCGCGACATCATACCGATTCCATCTCAAACGGCATGCATTTCCCATCACAGTCACACAAAAGGATGACGAAAGGACGCTTTTATCCGGCAATGAGGGGTGAATACTGTCGTGGCTATGCGGAGATCCTTGGTCATAGTATAGAGAACTTAGAATGGATGGAGAATCGATTACGAAATCATACACTGCCGGCAACTTGTTTGTTTGTTTGTTTGTTTGTTTTATTATTAACGACCATAAGTATCTAGTTAACTAGATACACAAATCCTCATCTGGGCAATAGGTCGGTAGGAGCCAGTTTCCGTCTTAATCACCGCCACGTGGTCTTATTCCTTCGAGACCGGCCTAGCTAGACAGCAAGCTTATCAACCAATAGCCGGAGGTGTTGACCCCTGTTCGCTACGTTTCAGTGTGATAAAGGAAAGATACAGAATTTTTATACTAGCAAGCTAAGTTAGTATAAGGGAAAAAACCCCTCTCTACAAGGGGAAAAATCTAGTGTGTCGTCGTAGGCTAGCTAGCCTATAGCTGCTGCGGGACCTAGAGGGGTCTTCAGCGTTGTGTCTTTACAAGCCGGGGGGCTTGCTTATTGGTTGGTTGTGTCTTGGGAAAAATTAGCTGGAAAGGGGTGCCCCGGCCGGATTCGAACCGACTGCCTTATGCGATGAACGCGCATAGAGCCTGCCAGGCGCTGTGCCGGCAACTTGCAGAGTAAACGATAGCATCCAAGACTCACCTGAATCTCTCAATATTTCAGATTGAAGCAGTTACCGTACTTCTCGTATGAGTTTACTGTATTTCTTCTCAAGAAGCTCTTAGCCCGGTTGTATTACAGCTACGATACTTTCAGTACACCGTTAACCTCTACATGGCGCAATGCCGCCGTGTTCTCGAGCCATATGTTCTCCATTAGCCCCTTTTTTCCAACCTAAATATTTCTGCTTAGCGGGTAACCAGATCCTAACACAAGCTTCCCTCCTATATCTACAGGTACCCTACCTTTTGGGTGCCTAACTACTGTAAACCCTTATTCTATTTAACTAGCTATTAGATAAAACGACTACGATTTTTTTATTTACAGTCTTATTTAGGGACTTTAAAGAAATAAAAATATTTATAAACCCTTTAGATAACTAAAATAAAATAAAACCTATCGCCCCTAGACTAGCAACAGCCTTTTAACTTTTAAAGGAGGTAACCCCCTTAGGCTTAAAAATAGAAGAGGTTATAGTCCTCCCCTTTACTTTTAAAAAGAAAAAATACTTTAAAAAAGCCTTTAGCATAAATAAAATAGCCTTACCTAGCTTTAATAAAGTAAAACTAAGTATAATAGTAATAGTAATTATAGCGTAAATAGCTTTAAAAGGCTTTATTACCTTTATTTTTAATAATATAAAAAAAGCTACTAATTTAAATAAAAAAGAGAAATTTTTTACTAAAAATAAAATTATAAACTAAATTAATAAAATTAATATATAATAATAGGCTAAATAAAATATAGTATTAAATATAATTATAGCTATTAACTCCTACTTAGCGTAATATATCTCTTAGCTCTCCTTAATAATAGTAAAATAAATTTACTTATACTTAAATACTATTTTTAAAAACTTTATTACCTCTTATATTAACCCTAAGGGGAGGCCTAAAGACCTTAAGAAATTAAGTAGTAAAAAAAAAACTACTTAATTAACTAAAATAATATTAGATAATATATTTTATAATAAAAAGAATAAATTAAATACTACTAAGACTTTTATTATAGTAGAAGCTCCTATATTTATTAAAAAAGTAAGTTAGAAAAACCCTAGGGTTATATAAGTATAAATTATATTATAAGAAAATATTTATAATAAAACCCCTTAAAAAGGAATTAATAACCTAAAGTATTCTTTTATAAGTAGTAGAGGGCTGGCCCCTGCTATTAATAAAAAAAATATAAATAAAACTAATAAACCTAAGGAAAGTTTTAATAACTATATTTTTATTTAAATCCCCTTAGACTATATATAGAAAAAGCTATTAACTATTAGGGCTAAATAAAAACTAATTAAGATTTTAAAGTTTATAAATAAAAATATTACTTACTTTTAAAATATTTAATTAAGCTTTACTTTTAGAGGTAAGAATTAAAATATTAAAAATAAAATTATTATACTTTAGCTAATAGTAAAAAATAATAATTTAAAAATTAAAAAAGTATATTTATAAAAGGTTTTTCTTATATATAATATATTAAAGATATATATTAATATAAGTAAGACTTACTTTATAAATACGCTAATCCTAGAGGAGGTATATATTAAGGCAGGGGCTAAGAACCTACTTATTT